GGTTGTACCTCTCAGCAGTACCATTTTGTTGAGGTGTTGCTGTGCATGACAATTGCTGTTCAACTCCAAGGTTGGCAAGAAAAGAGCGGAAAGAGTTAGACATGTACTCTCCTCCACGATCAGAACGAAAAATTTTGACCTTGAGACCCAACTGACGCTCAATATAAGGAAACCAGGACTGGATAGCACCGGGAACTTCATCTTTAGATCGAAGAAGAGAGATCCAAGCAAATTTTGTATGATGGTCAATGAGTGACATTACATATCTTTTCCCAGTACGACTTGGTGTACGGGAAGGACCCATCAGGTCACTATGAATGAGCTCAAGCGGTTGAGAGACTTCAGACTCAGAAGAATAGAAAGGATGACGAGGAAGCTTAGCCTCAACACAAGTGTGGCACGATGATTGAGATGATGACAACTGCTTGGAGATGATAAGACCATCAACACTTGCATGTGCTTGCATGCGTGTGATGCTAGACTCTTCAGGGTGACCGTAACGACAATGCCAGGTGTAAGGAGATGCAGATGTACCAGGATGAAGTCTTACTGAGGTGGTGGTAGCAGCAACTGAGGGACTGCTGTAGGGCTTGGCAGGTGGCTGTGCATCAATCTCCACTCGATAGAGACGTCCATTACGAACACCTCTTGCAATGTGATGTCCAGTTGGAGCACGAACCTGCACAGAACCATCTGAGAAAGAGATGGAAATACCTTTCTCTTCCATTTGACCAATTGAGAGAAGGTTCGCCCCTAGTGAGGGGACAAGTAAAATGCCTGAGAATGACATATGAATTCCCTCTGGACTGAGAAATGTCATTGTTCCCTCTGCTTGAACTGGCACCGAATGGTTGCTGGCAACAACCACTTCTTTCACATTGGAGGGCTTGAGGCTGTGAAGGAGGGAGGCATGAGGGGTCATATGTTGATCACATCCACTGTCCAAAAACCAAATCTTGGGATCCTGTGTAAATGCATGGAGACAAGAGGATGATGCAAATGCGAAACTCGGTGCATTCGATTGAGTAGAGTCTCTCTCATATGAAACGACTCCTATGGTGGCTTGAAGAGGCGCCTCTGGTGTGTGAGGTTGTGGCATAGAGGAAGCAGAGACATGGTTTTGAGATGAGACTTGGGAAGCATTCTGAAAGAATGCCCCATGATGCGCACTGTCTGGTTGATTTTCTGGAGGGGTATGGGATGTAATAGCAATGGCGGCCCTTCCTTTGTCAGAAAGCAGAGATGAAGGTGGTGTCCAGTTCGCAGGACGTATGTTGCACTTGAACCAAGGATGTCCCCATTTATGACAATAATGACACTCAAATTGATACCTTGACTTTGGCTTATAAGGAATATGATTAGAGTATGATGCAAGCTGAGAAATATGACTTGGTGTGGGTTGTCCAAGAAGAGAGTGTGTTGGGGTTTGAGAGGACTTACCTTGCTGAAACTTGCTCTGTTGTTGAACACTTTGTTGAGGGCGATAGTTGGAACTTGTCATTCCACTCCATGCTGGTCCAGGATTTCTCTGAAGCTTTGCAAGTTCTCTTGTCTGATGTTCGGTGATGAGCGTGTTGAAGATGAAATCTCGGGTCCTTGTCTCCTCAGGAAAGGCTTGAATGGTGCTTCTCATAGTGCTCCATCCAGATGAAAGTCCGGCTAGAAGAATGGTGATGAAGAGAGATTCCGGGACCTCAATGTCGAGAAGTGTAGCTTCGTAAAGGACCATTTCACCACGTTGTAAGTAGTCGGGGATGGACTCACTCTCCCCCATGCGGAGAGAGACAATCTTGTTCCACACTTCTGCCTTAGAACCTTGGGAAATAGGTTGATGAAGACGTTTGAGCCGCTCCCAAGCAGCTCTGGCACTGTCCTTTTGAGTTGATACAAGGAGGAGGGGTTGAGAGTAGGGGTCTTGAATGGAAGAGAGGAGTTAGAGATAAGCTTCAGCATTTTTCTTGATCCAGTTGCTCTGTTCTTGATCAGGTGCAGCAGTTGAAGGGGGGGTGTTTTGGCCGATGTAGATAGGCCAAAGATCAAGAAGAGTGGCGGCTTGTTGAAAGCGGATGCTCCATGATGAAAAACCTTTGCCGTTGAAGCGTGGAAGCTCCAATTTGGGGACTAAGGAGGAGGTAAATGTAGATGGAGTAGGTGGTGTAGATGGAGATGATGTGTTGGTTGTAGGAGGTGCTGATTCGTTTGAAGAGTTTGTGGTTACAGCTGGTGAAGTTGATCCCATAGGAACACTTGAGTCCTTTTCATCCATGTTGGTAAATTAAAACTCCTGATACAATCAAACAATTTCACACAAGGGGAAGGGGAAATAGACAAACACACACACACAGACACACACATACACAAACACACAAAAACAAAAAAGGGGAAACACAAAAAGGAGGACCCAAAAGGGGGCGCAAGACCAAGTGCAAGGATGCCACTAATGGCAAATAACGGGCTTAAAAAAAAAACTAGACAAGATGCGCACGGAAGAAACAGCAAAAGGAATGAACTCGGGCTCAGATACCATCTTGAGATTGAAGTTATAGACGAGGGAGGGTAAATGGTAAGGAGAAAGAAAGAAAACACCTAGAAAGAAAAGGTAAGATCAAAGTAAAACCAAGTTGAAAAGCAAAAACAAGTTGAAAGGAAATCTTGAAGTATGGAGTAATTAAGAATGAAGAAAGTTTTGAAGGAGAAGATAGATAGACTTGATAGGGATAAAAGGGACCAAACAAGATTGGCTTAAAAGAAAGTATTGAAGAAAAGGTAAAGGGCTTGAAAGATACTTAAAAGGAACTTGTAACGAACTTGAGAATAAGAACTTGATTATTATGGAAAGAGCTTGAATATAAAACAACTTGATAATAGCAAATGAACTTTGATGTAAAAGAAACTTGGTGAAAAATGAGAGGAAGGGATAACCACTTACTTGAAAAGAGTTCTTATTATTATGTTGTAGAAGTTGATCTTCACTTCAAGCTTAAATGTTGTCTTAGTTGTTAATGAAGAACCTCAAAGCTTGAATGTTGAGAAGTTGATCTTGAATGTTGACTTGTAGATAATGTTTGTTGAATGAAGAGAAACCTCCAAGCTTGGATGTTGAGGTTGGAGCTTGGACCTTGGGTAGAAGAATACACCAATCTTGCTTGAAGCTTTAAAGTACATTAATCAAAGGGAGGTACATGGTAGGATCTTGAGATCAACTATCCTTGATGATCTAGAAGTAAAACTATGTGGCACAAACTTTTCTAGAATTGGAGCATATGGCTATGAGCTTGGGTTGGGAGAGGTTGGTGGTGATGATGAAGCCTTAGGAGTTGGAGCATAAGGAGGAGGACTTGAGGTTGGCCTTGAGAGAGTTTGAAGAACTTGTTGAGAGTTTGGGTATGAAGTAGCATTGAAGAAATATTTTTTTTGAAGAAATGAAGAGGACCCTTTTGTATTTGGTGGAGCTTGATGTTGGATGAAGGATGAGGAAAGGATGAATGGTTGTGATTAGTTGAGTTGGATAAGATGGGGGTGATGAATGTGGCCTTGAAGTGAAGGCTTGGTGAAGAGAATGAATGTGGCCTTGAAGTTAAGGCTTGGTGAATGGGATGTATTTGGCTTTGATTTTAAGGCTTGGTGAGTGGAATGAATGTGGCTTGGATTGGAAGGCTTGGTATGGAATCTTTTGTTTGATTGGTGGATAATGGGATGAGAAAGATGATGAGGATAGGAGGAGAGTTGAGGTGGAGGATTGATAGGTTTTGATTGGTAGGTTTTTGCTGTCTGGAGATAGGAAGGGTGTGGTGGCGAGTGGGCATTTTTGCAAGATGCCTTTTGCATATTCGGATTTTGGCTGACGGGGAAATTGCGGCGAAAAATTTCGCCACGTGAAATATTTCCCGCCACCCTGGTGCCACGCGAGCAGCAGCCACAGTTCACTGCAACACTTTCCGCGTGGAATCTCCGCCGCGCTGGCGGTTGTGGAATCAGTGCAGCTGCTCTGCGCGTACAAACCAAGGTTGACGACGCTGAGAGGGTGTGTCGAAGTTGGTTTGGGACACCATACCGAAAGGCGATGATGAGACACTAGCCTAACCCGAGGTCAGGTTGTTGCGGCTTGGGAGCGCCACTCGGAGTTGCGGCGAGAGCTTACGACCAATCAGATCGCTTGTGATGTAGGACCAAATGAACACGTGGAGACAATTAGTACCCATTCAGATTCTACCACGTGGAAAAGTGACATCACAGCTGATGCTTGTGCCATGCAAAGGCGAGGAACGTGCTGATTCTGGCTGGAATCACTCGCTCCAATATTCTTCCGCTTCGCTTCCGTCTGAGAGCATGGTGCTACACTCCTGAAAACATTTCTATAAACAAATTATTGGGGGAAGAACTTTAACTGAACCCAGGAGGAAATCCAGCCTCCTTTTCACCCAGGTCCACCCAAATAATCTGGCTAACCAGGTATGGTGGTAGTTTGGCAGTTATCAGAAGTGCTGGTCCATCAAAAGGCGGACCTCTTCAGGCATTCACCCAGGTCGAAACAGAGCAAAACAGATTGTTAACGCCATGGACAGACTAGCGGAAGATGACTTCATTGTGAATACATGTGTCCTTACACACCAATCGATCACAAGCCAGGCAGCAGCACAACGCGCACACCACTTAAAACAGGCGTGTGCAGGAAGGATTGACAAAATAGTGCTTGCTTACCTCTAGAACCGAATCTAATACACTATGCTTGTCATCTCCATCAAATTGCTGGCTGTCAAGCATTCTATGTTCCCCCTCTTTGTTGACCATTCTTCGTTTACGTGGCCTAAGCAAACTCGGCCCTACAGCCTTCGGTCGAGCTGATGTTACCGTTTGTAACCGCAATGCACCGTCGGCAATGAGCCAGGATAACAGATCTCTGCATGTCTGAAAGTAACGCAGGGGAAAAAAAGGGTATGGATTGAGTAAAGCAGGGGTTTGTTTGAAGGGAGAACTAAACATGATGAGGCGATGCAAGGCTACTGCTGCAACACTGTGCAAGGTGCAATTGAAGGGGGTTGAGGGAAGAAGTGCTGAGAGAGAGCTACTAGTTGCACCACTGTGCAGTGGAGAGAGGGAGGGAGCTAGAGCTACTGGTATCTTTAAGTGTGTAGCCTTACCTGGGGATTGAGAAGCGGAACGAGACGCAGCAGCATACTCTGCAATGAGGCCGAGAGTAAAGGAACACAGGAGAGAGAAACGGGAGAATTGAGGCACAATTTCTCGTACTTGTGACTGGCAGTGACTGATCGCTGATCCTCCTCCCATGCCTATCCACCAGCCACACAAGCCCAGCTCAGGCTAGTTCTTCCTCTCTGCTTGTGGATACACTTTCCTGAGATTAAACGAAGTGGGGAAGAAACGGTGGCGCTGAGAGTGACAGGGTTGCACTCACCTCATTACATGGAGCCCAGAACAGCCCACATTGACCGAGTCACATGCACCCACCCTCGCACCCACCCCCAACCATGTCCACGCGCACTCACCTCCTCTATGCCGGGATGGAAGGCCACCACAGCCATGATCTTGCGTACAAACATGCTCCGATCAAACACCAGTTGGGTGCCATGACACGCACACTAACCCCCACGCACCCACCCAACCCCACACACACACTCACCTCCTCTATGCCGGGATGGAACGCCACCACAGCCATTATCTTGCGCACAAACATGCTCCGCAGAGCTGCTTTCTCCCGCCCCGAACCATCCAGCCACGGTCGTATCGCCACCTCCTCCTGCTCCCTCTCCTCCCTCTCCTCTTTCTCCCCTCTCTTCCCACCCTGCTTCTCCCCTTGTTCCCCCCTCTGCTTCCCCAGCTCTTCCTCTCCCTTTCCTCCCTCGTTTCCCCTTTTTCTGCTCCCCAGGGTCATCAGGCCCTGGGCCGCTCTCTCCCTCTCCCCTTCCCCTGCTTCCAAACCCAACCCCTTCCCCTTGTCCCCGCTCGTCCCTGGTGCGTGGGTGAGAGCTTGCGATGGGTTGGTGCAAGTGACAGAATCAGCAGCAAGAGTGGCGGTGGCGGTGGCGGTGGCGGTGGTGGTAGTGGTGGCAAGGGCAGAAGCAGCGGTGGTGTCTTGCTTGCGGAGGAAGAAGAGGGATGCGTGGCGCGACGCCATGAGAACCAGTGAGTCAAAGAGAGCAACCTGGGAGCATGAGCGTTGGGGGAAAGACATCAGCAGATGGGACAGCGGGACAGCAGATGGCGAAATGGACGGACGGGAGAGAGAAAACGCAGACGGGAACGGGCTTTAACGAGCGTGGAAAACAGGTTGGAGGTCTTCAGAGGAGAGGAAGAAAGGGAGGAAAATGTCTTTCAAGGCGCCTTAAAAATGTATTTGATGCGCCTCAAACGGGTTTTTCACGAGTGTGGATCATAGGTTGGAGGTTTTCAGAGGAGAGGGAAGAAAGGCGGTGGGAGAATGACGGGGATGCATAGAGAAGGGGAGAAAAGGGATGGGGACGGAGGGAAGGGATGCAGAGGGAAAACGGGAGAGAGAGACACACACACATACCTGTTTTTGAGTCGACTCAAAAGCAGAGGGAAAACGAGACGGAAAGAGACACATACCTGTTTGACCTTCCCCGATGCTAGTAAATCCGCCACACAGCTCTCCACCTCTTCCTCCCCCACCCCCACTGCTGCTGCTGCTGCTGCTGCTGCTGCTGCTGCTGCTGCTGCTGCTGCTGCTGCTGCTACTGATGCTGATGCTACTTCCACAGCTACTGCTGCTGCGGTTGATCCTAAGGCAGCAGAAGCAGAGCTCTCGCCGGCCCCGTTAGGGACTAGTGCGTGTTTGAGTGCTTCTAAGGAGCATCCTCTGTGACCCCTGGCCTCTATGTGTTTTTGTACTGCAGAGAGAAGACTACTTGGGTGATGCCACCCCCACTCATTGCCTCTATCTGCTTCTGCGCCTTCCCTTGCTGCTTCTGCGCCTTCCCTTGCTGCTTCTGCGCCTTCCCTTGCTGCTCCTGCCCCTTCCCTTGCTGTCTCTGCCCCTTCCCTTGCTGTCTCTGCCCCTTCCTTTGCTGTCTCTGCCCCTTCCCTTGCTGCTTCTCTCCCTTCCCTTGCTGCTTCCACACCTTCCCTTACTGTTCCTCCTCTCTTCTCAACCACAGCTCCTTGTGCGGCGGTTTCAACATGACCTCCCTGTGGGCCTTCAGCAGCAGCTTCTTGAAGTGCCTCAAAGATAGAATCGCGAGGGGGTTCTGAGGTAGCTTCTTGCTTCTCGCCTCCTCCTGCTCTCCTCCCATTCCCCCCAACAACAACACCCCCATCATCACCCCCAGCAGCAGCAGCAGCAGCAGCAGCACCACCATCACCATCACCATCACCATCACCATCACCATCACCATCACCATCACCATCACCATCACCATCACCATCACCATCACCATCACCATCACCGTCACCTGTCCCTCCTCCCATCAACCCTTCCTCCACCATGCCCGCTTCGCATACTGCTTTCTTTCCTCCCAGCTTCATTCCCTCACACCCACCCTCAACATCCATCCCATCCCCCCCATCCCCCCCATCCCCCACATTCCCATTCTTCCCCACATTCCCCACACAGCCCTTCACAGCATTCTCCCAAAGACAAGTAACCAGATCGGGTACAGGCACCAGGGCACTCCTTACCAGCACCTTCAGATGTGGAAACCCCCTCACCAACTGCCTAACACCATACGGTGTCTGAACTGACGAATTCCCTCTCCCCTCCTCCTCCTCCTCCTCCCCATCCTCCTCCTCTTCCTCCTCCTCTTCTTCCTCCTCCTCTTCCTCCTCCTCGCTCTGCTCCTCCCCACCTTTCCCTTCCCCTCCCACAATCTCCCTCCCCTTCCCACCTCTCCCGTTCACCCCTTCCCCAGAACCACCCATCCGACCCTTCTCCTCTTCCGCCTCCTCCTCCCTCCCCTCCCTCCTCAACTTCTCATACACACGTCTCCTCTGCCTCCTCCTCTCCTCCTCAGCATCATCCTCCCTCTCCCCCACGCCTTTCTTCGGCAGCACCCCTTTCAGCTCCAGCTGCCCTTGAGAAACCAAGGTCAGCAACTGCACCAAATGCCCGCATCTCAGCGTTAAAGGCACCCTTTCCCACGCCCCTTCCAGCACCTCTCTCCTCTCCTGCACCCACTGTGTAAACTCCGCGCTATCGGCAGCGGCATGAGGCGGCAACGGGGATATAGAAGCCGTTTCCACATGGTCAGGGTTCAGAAAGAACGCTCGGGACCCTTTCCCCGGAACCACAAGATCACTCATTCGGAGATACTCAAACGCCACAACCACGTCGCTTTCCGGAAACCTTCGCAGCGCGTGAACGAGGAGGGGAGGGAGAGAGCCGTTGACAGTCGTCCCGCTGAGAATGGATTTGATGAGCTCGCACGCTGGGGCGGCAAAGGGCCGCCGGTGCATTTCTGAGAGGAGCTTTTGTGCTTTGAGGGCTTTTTTGCTGATGATGGTTTGGCTGCGGTCTGCGGCTCTGGCTGCGTTGGTTGCGAGGGAGGTGTGAAGTGTGGTGATGGCCATGCTGGTTGCTGCAGCTGGATTGGACGATTGAAGGGCAAGCATTGGTGCAATTTCTGCTGCTGCTGCTCCTGCTCCTGCCTCTGCTGCTGCTCCTGCTGCTGTGCCTGTTGATAAGTCTCTTGTACCAGCGGCAACTGCAGCAGTGGCACCAGTCAGACCAGCTCGTCTTCCCTCCACTCTCCACTCCCTTTCACCCGCCACAGCAGCCGCAGGAGCAGCAGCAGGTACACGCCCTACCTGCTGCTTCTCCTGCTGCTGCATCAGCCAGGGGCGCAGGGAGTAATGAGCAACGAGCACCCGATCCACAGCGCGGGCCAACTCAGGGCAGGAGAAATCGTCCCACTCCCACCGGCTCTCCCACACCACCTCCCGCTGCCGGGATGGAGTGGGGGCTAATGGCGGGATGGAGAGAGGCGAAGGGGAAGGAACTGGTGCCTCAGAAGCACCTGCAGCAGCAGCACCAGCAGCAGTGGCGGCGGTGAGGTCAGGGGTGGCAGTGGCGGTGGCAGTGGCAGTGGCAGCAACTGGTCCAGCCGTGGTGAGAACCCCTACACCTCCTTCCCCTCCTCCTCCTCCTCCTTCCCCATCACTCTCATCCATCCCCCCCTGCTCCAGCCGCTGCTGCTCCTGCTGCGCCTCCCACTGCGCCTGCTGCTGCTGCAGCGCCAGCGCCTGCTTAAACTTGGCCCAGCGGGACAGTCTCAGAGCAACGAGAGCGCAGAGGTCCTGCAGCGCGTGGCGTGTGCGCGCATCGGTGCGAAGCAAGGCCACGTGGCGGCGGCAGGCAGAGGGCGGGAAGGGCAGGCGGTGCGAGTAGAGGTGCCACTGCATGCGCGGATGGCGGGCACGCACACGTGCGTACTCCTCAATAAGTGTGCTGAAGGGGGAGGAGAGGAGGGGGTAAGGGGGACACAGACTTGTGAGGAACTCTCAAGGGGCAGGCGGTGCGAGTAGAGGTGCCACTGCATGCGTGGATGGCGGGTGCGCACACACGCGTGCTCCTTGATTAGCGTGCTGGGGGGGTTGGGGGCGGAGGAAGGAGCGGGAATGGGTGGGAGGGGCATTTGAGAGTTAAGAGGGAATCGAGACCTGGATGGGGGGGACTGGGAGGGAGGGGAGAGAGGGAGGGAGGTAGAGAGGGGAGCGAGGAGAGAGAGGGAAGAGGGGGAAGAGAGGGGAGAGGAGAGAGGGGAGAGATGGGTGAGGAAAAACAAAGATTAGCAACACGCTTGACCACACAGCACAGCACCATCCCATCCCAACCCAACCCATCCCATCCCATCTAAATCCCATCCCATCCCATCCCATCCCATCCCATCCCATCCCATCCCATCCCATCCCATCCCATCCCATCCCATCCCATCCCATCCCATCCCATCCCATCCCATCCCATACCATGCCATCCCCTGTCGTCCCACCACACTCACCGAGTGGAAAACTGAGTCCAAGTGACTCGTCGCAGCCGAACAGCAGAGCCGTCAAGCGCTCTTGAACCCCCCCCAATATCCTCGTCTTCTTCCCCCTCCTCCCCTTCCTCCCCTTCCTCCCCTTCCTCCCCTTCCTCCCCTTCCTCCTTCTCCTCCCCCTCTCCCTCTCCTCCTCTTCCTCCTCCCTCCTCTCCCCCATCCACATCGTATCCAACACCCTCCCCTTCACCCCCCTCCTCCCTTTGCATGTCCCACTCACCATCCCCATCCGTACCCACACCACCACCATCCCCATCACCTTCCCACTCATCCCCACCAATCCTTCGTCTTTTCCTTGCCGCGTCTTCCCCACTCCTCTGCTCCTCTCTCCGCTTCACCTGCCCACTCTCCATCCCTCCACGAACCCCCAACAGTCCTTTCTCTTTCGCAACCACAAGCATTCTACCACCATCCCTACCACCAGCAACACCACCACCATCACCACTCCCAGCAGCAGCAGCAGCAGCAGCAGCAGCACCACCACCACCACCACCACTACCCGCCCCACTCGCACCCACCATTCGCATCCTCCCCCGACCCCCGCCCCCCTCCTCCCACCCATATTTCCTCCACTCAGGCTTCGCCTGTAGTGCCGCAACTCTGCTCTTCCCGAGCACATCAACCACTCTCAGGTTCCTCCCCTTCCCTCTCCCTCTCCGCCTCCCACCCCCACTCCCACCCGCTTCCTCCTCGCTCCCCCCTCTCTCACCCTCCTCGTCCTCCTCCTCCTCGTCCCATTCCTCCTCTCCCTCACTTCCTCGTCTCTCCCCGCTCCTCCTCCTCTTCTTCTGCCTCCTCCTCTTCCTCTCAAGATCGCTCCACTGCACACCAGGCAGCAGACCCAGCTGCGGCAAGCTAAGAGCATGCATACGCAGGTGCCCCTGCCTCATGTATATAGAATACAGCACCTGGTCTTTCGTAAGCCCCATTTCCCGTGCAATCTCGGCCGCAGTCGCGCGCACGGTCGTCTCCCTGTCCTGTAACGAGACAGCTTGTAAGCGGCGCATGAGCTGGATATGCAGCCGCAGCGGCAGGAGGGCATGAGAGGCCCACACGCGAGCGTTCAGCAAGTCAGGAACAGCGGTAGCGGGGAAAAAACGGCGGCTGACAGAGGGAGCAAGCGTGGAGAAGACAGTTTGAAGGGAGGACCAGTAAAGAGCTAGACCCTCTTCCTCTGCTGCGTCTAGCTCTATAGTCACTGCTTCTGGTCCTACGCTCCTTTGTAACAGTCCCCGTTGAAGGTTGGTGGGAGATTGGGAGGATTGTGGGTCGAGTGGGGATGAATTGGGGAGCGAGGAGGTGGAGGGGTTTGAGGCATTGGGACCGGGGGAGAGGTTGGAGGGGGAGAGGGGGGATTTGGAGTCGAGGGGTAGTTGGGTGGAGGGAGGATGTTGGAGGCGAATGCGACGTGTGAGGACATAAAACACACGGAAGGATGGCTCTAGGTAGCTGTGCTCCTCTCGCTGCTGCTGCTGCTGCTGCTGCTGCTGCTCCTGGTGTTGCTGTTGTGGTGGTGGCGGCAGCTGCTGTGGCTGTTGTTGATGCTGTGATGAGGAAGGTTCGGTGGAGGTGGAGGGTTTGAGGTCTGGTGCGGAGACATGGAGGGATAGCAGCTGAGAAGAGGGTGGTGTATATATGTAGACGGGCGTACATGCACACACATGCATACACATGCACACACATGCATACACATCCAATCACATGCAAGTTCATGCAAACACATGTGAACACATACATGCGAACACGAATACCCAAAGCGCAAACACACACACACCCACAACACATCAAGCACAACACAGACAAATAAAGGTTAAGATTATTTTTCCAAAAAATCACATAGGGCGACCCACTGGTTGAACACCTCCCTCTTCAATCTGAAGGTCTGGTGATCAAATCTCACGTACCACATTTTTGCATCCTTGCTCAAGCAAACCCATACCTGCCAAACCTCTCCACCACCCTACACCCAACCTTGAAAGCATCCTGTCTGCCTTCTTCCTTAGGCACACAACTTCAGCCCCTTTGAACCCACCTGCAGGCGGTGCAGCAGGTTATAGATGCGTGAGAGGCGGTTGCGCCCCTCCCCACCCATGGCGCCCCTCCCCACCCATGGCGCCCCTCCCCACCCATGGCGCCCCTCCCCACCCATGTGCATTCACCCCCACCCTTCCGCAACCCACCTGCCGGCGCTGCAGCAGGATATAGATGCGTGAGAGGTGGTTGCGTGCCGAGGCATGTGCAGGAGGGAGGACGGCTGGTCCCCCAGCTTGCACTGCAGCGCCAGGGGCACCCATCCCCACCCATCTGCACCTAACTTCGCCCCCTCAGACCCACCTGCAGGCGCTGCAGCAGGTTGAAGATGCGTGAGAGGCGGTTGCGTGCCGAAGCATCAAAGAGCGTGTGCAGGAGAGAGGGCGGCAGGTCCCGCACGAGCTTGCCTTGCAGCGCCAGGGGCGTGAGAGACGGGATGTCCTGACTCGCACCCACAATCTGAGACGACAAAATGAGGAAAGGAGGGATGGAGGGAGAAATGGAAGGGGAAACAGGAGGGGTTGGTTGGTGATAAGGGTGTGAGGCATTGGAAACGTCTGTTTTTTTTTCGGTTCAGAAAGAACCGACCGGATTCACCACATGGAGAATTCGGAGATATTATAATTCCTGTAGCACAAGAGTAATTTTCTCAATCATATTCGTCCATGAGATGCCTCAAATAGACACTCGTGATGCGGCTGATGTAAACGTTTTCCCGCCACCTCAAAAGCAGGTGCAGCGCAGGTGAAATGCAGGTTGCAGGTAGAGCCCGTGCAGTACCTGAAGGAACAACTCGAGAGGCATGGCGTGCACAAGCGTAGCCAGGTCAAACTTGCACCCCTGGGTGCTGTCGGGATCTGCATTCAGACAAACAAATGAAGGTGACCATGGAAAAAAAAAGGGTCATGTGGTCGCAGAAGAGAGAGCACCCATCAGACCCATCAGTCCACGCCCAAAACAAACAAACAAAACCAAAACACAACGAATCAGAACAAAATAAAACGACAAAGAACGGGGGGCGGGGGGGGCTGAAGAGGGGGAAAGTCACCCCCACCTAGGTTTGGCTCAAATGTGTTAGTGTCCCTCGACTTGACATGCGACCAGAGGAAGAGGTGCAGTTGTCGCGCACGCACCATCTTAGCCGGCACATACCCATACCGCCTCCTCACACTCCACAGCTCCGCCTCCGCATCCTCCTCCCCTCCCTCCCCTCGCTCCCCCACTTCCCCTCGCACTGCTCCCACTGCTGCCACCGTTCCCTCTCCTCCCTCTCCTCCATCTGCTCTCTCTCCTCGCTCTGCTCTCTCTGGTCCACTCCCACTGCCTCGAATCGCGCTGGCCCTTTGCACCTGCTGCTGCTGCTGCTGCTCCTGCCCGTCCTTTCCTTGCCTCTCCCCCATCAGATTCCCTCTTTCCTGCCTGTCAAACTCTTTATCCTGTCGCAAACTCCTTCCCTGGAACCTTCCTGTCGCACCCCCATCCACCTTGCCCCCTCTCAACCCCCTCACAAGCCTTCCGCTTCCTCCCAGTGCCAATGACCCAGCAGCTTCTACCTCTCCTCCTCCTGCTGCGCTCCGCACAGCTCCTGCCGCTCCTGCCGCTGCTCCTCCCGCTCCTCCTGCCGCTCTGATTCCTCCTCTTGCAGCAGCAGCACGAACACCAGCAGCACCCCCTGCCTCCATCCCACCCCATGAAACCCTCTCCTCTTTCACACCACTCCCTCCCGCTTTCCCCTGACCTCCCACACCCCCCAACACACCACTCCTCCCCATACTCCCATCATCAATACCCACCTCCCCCACATCCACCTTCGTATCCCCATCCCCAACCCCATCCCCATCCACCCCTCCTCCTAACCTGTCTCGTACCAGCACAGAGGCAGCAACACCTAGCCGCTGCTCTCTCCTCCTCACTGCATCTAGCTGTCGCCCCAAGAGCCGCCTCTCTATGTTGTTCAGCACTGGTATAGCCACCCGCCCCCCACCCTCACCCTCGCCCCCACCATCGCCCTCCCCGGCCCCTCGCTTCGCCTTGATATCCGGAAACGAATGCACCTTGTATCTGTTGGCCCGCGTCCCTACTCTGTTACCACCGCCATCACCACCACCACCAGCACCAGCACCATCACCACCACCACTGCCAGCAGCACCGCCAGTAGCACCGCCAGCAGCAGAGTTTCCAGTAGCACCTACAACAATCTTGCCATCCCCTCCTGTCTGCTGCTTCTGCTCGTCCCCTCCATCCCCTCCTCCATCCCCTGCTCCCTCTCCTTCCCCTCCTCCTCCTCCTCCTCCTCCTCCTCCTCCTCCTCCTCCTCCTCCTCCTCCTCCTCCTCCTCCTCCTCCTCCTCCTCCTCCTCCTCCTCCCCCTCTCCCCTCCACCTTATTCCCCCACATCACATCCGCGCCCGCCCTCGCATTCTCCATTTCCTGCCTCCGATGCCGCGCAATCACCGCTGCAAGGGCCTCCGGGCTTGCATCGGCACTCCCGGAAAGCACGATCTCGAGAGTGCGGGCCTGGCCGCCGTTGGAAACCCCCGGCACGGAGAGGAGCATGCGCTTGAGCAGGGCGCGCGCGCGCATGGCGTCGAGAATGCGGTTGAGGGTCTTGCGATCCATGGTGGCGGCACGGAAGGCCCGCTCTGACGCCACCATGTGCCGGTACAGCTCCCACCGCGTCGCTATCTGATTGGCCTGGGGGGACGGAGGAAGGAGGAGGGGAGCGAGAGAGGGAGGGCGGGGAGGGACAGAAAGGATGGGGGAAAGGGAGTGCGAGGGAGGGTAGTAGAAACCGTGGGAGGGAGGAAGGGAAATAAGGATGCAGGAAGAAAAGGAAGGCAAGGGAAGGAGAGCGGTGGCGGGGAAGCGGGGGAGGAGCGGTGGGGGGCGAGGGGAAGGGGTGGGCAAGAACGTGAAGACAACAAGGGGATACAGAGGAGAAAGAGGGAATACCTTGATGGGAATAAGGCGTAGCCTACCTCAAGAAAGGCTATAATGGTCTCCTCTCGTCTCTTCCACAGTGCTTCATCCTTGGGAAAGCTGGAACGGCGAGACACCGGCCTCTCGTCTGGACCTTGCAGCTCCTGCTGCTGCTTCTGCCACTGCTGCCGCTGCTTCCTCAGACTTAGCTGCTGCGGCTTCTGCTCCTGCTCCTGCTCCTGCTCCTGCTCCTCTTGCTCCTCTAGCTCCTCTTGCTCCGCCTTTCGATCTTTCACTTCCTCCTCCGCTTCCTCTGCTTGCTTCCGCTTCTGCTTCTGCTGCCGCTTCTGCTCCTTGTTCCTGCTTCTGCCCCTCTGCCGCTGTTGCTTCCGCTCCTCACTGCCCTCCTTCTCACCTACCTCCTTCTCTCCATCCGTCTCACACTCTTCAAGCCCTCGCGCCTCCTCCACCTCTCTCTGCTGCGCGCCCTTATTGCTTCGCCGTGTTCCGTTCCTCTCTTGAGCACTGCAATCAGGCTGCTTTTCCTGAAGCGCCTCCTGTTTCGGCTGTGTGGCGTTGCGACGGCGTGTATAGACCCTTGAGATGATGGGCTTAGAAGGGCCGTGGGATACGAGTGCGGGCGAGACAGCAGAAAGGGGAGCGGGAGGAGGAGGAGTGGAAGAAGCAAGTGAAGGAGGGAGAGGATGGGAAGCGGGTGCAGGAGAGAAAGGAGGAGGAGTACCGTGGGAGAGGTTTGTATGTGGGGAGGGGAATGAGGGGGAAGGGAAGGCTGGGGAAGGGAAGGCGGAGGTAGCAGGATGTGCTGATACCATGCCAGCCCCTTCACCTGACCCAGCAACCTCCAGATCATCAGATGGGGGTTGGGGTGACAATAAGTGACGTGCCTCACAACCACTTCTCCTGTCCCTTTCCCCACCATCATCACCATCACCACCATCAGCAGCAGCAGCAGCAGCACCACCACCACCACCATCATCAGCAGCAGCAGCACCACCACCACCACCATCACTGCCACCACCACCACCACCACTGCCATCAGATAATGGGGCCATGTCTAACTCTGTTGCCTTCATGGATTCTTCTCTTCTTATGGCTGTCTCCTCCGCTCCTTCGTCTGCTGCCTCTTCTGCTGTCCGTGCTTCTGCTTCTGCCGCTGTCCCATCTGCTCTCTCTCCTTCTGCAGTGTCTGCTGCTGAGTGCTCAACGGCAAGGTTCCTTTCATGCACCTCCGCTGCTGCTGCTGCTTTCCCTGGCACTGTATCGTCACTTTCACTCACCCCCACACCTGCCCCTGCCTCTTCAACTGCTGCTGCTGCTGCAGCAGCAGGAGCCAGCAACGAACCAGCTCTAGTCCTCACTCCTCTTACTGCCGCTGCTGCTACTGCTGCTGCCGCCCTCCCATCTCCCTTCCCATCTCCCGTTTCACCATCTCCCTTCCCCTTCAATCCAAAATCAATCTTCCTGCATTTGCGTCCCCGCCTCCCTCTCTCATCTTCTCCCTCACCCGATGCAGCAGCTAGAACCAAGTCAGACTCCTCCTCCTCCAGTGCAATCACAGAATCCTCAAATGTCAACGCAACTACAGAATCCTCAAATGTCAACGCAACTACAGAATCCTCAAATGTCAACGCAACTACAGAATCCTCATCCCCCAGCGCAATCACAGAATCCTCAGCCTCTCCCACATGCTCCTCCTGCCCTTCTAGGATTGCTTCCCCCCTCAACGTCAACGTTCTTGGATCTACATCTGCCTGCCCTTCTTCCCTTCTCTCAGCCGTATCAGCTCTCGCCACCACAGCACCTGTACCAATCCCAGCCCTCTCCTTTGTATCTGCATCCTCGATTTCCTCTCTCAGTACAGCCTCTTCGCTTCCCTCTCCCTCATGCCCTCTTGCAATGCTCCTTCCCCTTCCCCTCCCCCTCCCTCTTCCTCTTCCTCGTCCCCTCCCCCTCCCCCTCCCTCTTCCTTCCTTACCATCCTCTACTTTCGCCACTGCTACTCCATCTGCTTCAACCACCTGTGATTCCTTCCCACCTGCTTCATCCACACCCTCACCTTTATCTAACTCGCTTGTTTCAGCTCCTATGTCCCTGCCCATCCCAATCCCACTCCCCCTCCCCCTCCCCTTCCCCCTCCCCCTTCCCCTTCCTCTCCCCCTGCCCCTCCCCCTCCCCTTAACCGTTCCCATATCACCCCATTCCTCCTCATCACTTTCCTCAACCACTCCCCCGTTACCTCTCCCTTTCCCTCTCCCTCTCCCTCTGCCTTGCCTAGCAATCTCTGCTTCAGCTGTTGCGTCTTCACCTACTTCATTCTTCCCCCTCCCCCTCCCCCTACCCCTTCCTTTCCCCCTACCACCCTCGCTCTCCTCGTCCCTTCCCTCAACCACGCCTACCTTTCCTCTCCCTCTCCCTCTCGGCCTCCCTGTCTTTGCTTCTGCACCACTCCCCTTACCTTCCCTCGCTCCCACTCCTCCCTGCCTGGACTCACCACTATCTGTATCACCATCACCATCAGAATCACTATCAGCAACACTATCCCTATCCCCATCACTATCGCTATCAACATTACCACCACCACCACCATCCGCACCAGCACATTCTGCCTCACCGTACCCAAGAAACCCCTCAACAGCAGTAGCAGAAGGCACTATAGCCAGTGCCCCAAACCCATCCTCCTCCCTCCCATCCCTTCCACTCCCTCCTCCTCCATCCTCCTCACCCGCCCCACCCACCGCTTCTGCTGCCACTCCTCCTGTTTTCCCTCCTCTTCCTCCCGCTCCTCCTCCCCCTCCTCCCTCTCCTCCTCCTCCCCCCCTGCCACCTCCGTCGCCCACCGCTGCTTCCAGCAGCAGAGGAGGAGCAGCAGCAGCAGGAGGGGGGCCCAGGGCGCGCAGGCGGTAGACGGTCATGCGCTGGTGGTTCTCGGCGTGTGCGGTGATCAGCTTCATCTCCTGCAGCTCCTGCACTATGCGGTAAAACCGCTTCTTGCCCACCCCCGCCATCGCCCCCGCCAGCTGGTTTTCACAGAGGGAGAGGGGAGAATGGGGGGAGAGAGAAGGGGCGGGGATGGAGAGGGGGGGGGAGTGTTGGGGGAGGAAGGGGGAGAGGAGAGGTGGCGCAGGAAGGAAGGACGTGTGGGTGGGGAAGGGGAGGAGGGATGCGGGAAGCTTGAGTCGCGGTGAAAAGGAGACTGACAGGGAGCATGGACGATGAGTTTAAGGTAGCTATGACTTTTGAGTAGACTCAAACATCACCTAGTCGCGGTGAAAAGGAGACTGACAGGGAGCATGGACGACGAGTTTAAGGTAGCTATTGAGTCGACTCAAAAATCGGGTCCCCCCCACCTCTGTGCAGCAACCCATGGAAAGCATTGCCTGTTAACAGCATTCAGCACTTTCAGATGCACGCACTCTCTTCCTCTCTCTTCCTCTCTCTTCCTCTCTCTTCCTCTCTCCCTCTCTTCCTCTCTCCCTCTCACAACAGTCGGAAGCCTCTTCCAATGACTATCTCTCACCTCCGGCTGCAGCACCCCATCAGGGGCATGCCTCTGAACCGCATCCAAAACCTGCTGCTCCGCACTGAGCTCCATTGTCAAGCACCCGCTCTGCTCACCGCCTATCCCACACGCAGCCCACGCAGCACAGGCTGCTTCTGCTGCTGCTTCTGCTGCTGCTGCCTTTTCACCCACTCTTCTGGGAATCAAGGCCCCACATGCATTCACACCCAACCCCACTGCCCCTGCTGTTGCTTCTGCTGCTGCTGCTGCTGCTTGATCGTCAATACCAACATCATCATCATCATTATCATCCTCATCAGCATCATCACCACCCAGATCATCATCACCATCCCCATCATCATCCTCCTCCTCCTCCTCCTCATCATCATCATCATCATCATCATCATCATCATCATCATCATCATCACCAGCTTCTTCACCCATGCCCCTTCCCTTGCCCTTCCCCTGCCACCCCTTTAATAGAGCATCCGAGGGTGGTTGGAGGGTGGGCAAGGAGAGGAAGGAGCGGAGCTGTGACTCTGTGTATGTCCGCACCAGCTGCACACATGGCACCATCTGCAGGCAGAGGAGAGAGTAGACAGAGTGGGTTAAAGAGGGAAACGAGGGAAACGAGTGAACGGGGAGCAGTAAGAGGCGAGAGGCGTACTAAAAGGTCACACGAGATTAGCTAAAACGAAATCCACGCTATGTTTCAAAAGGAGGAAATCAGAGGTGTGTGTGGCAGGCAGGCAGGCAGGCAGAGGAGAGAGGAAGGAGGAGAGAGGAGGGAGGAGAGGGGAAGGAGGAGAGTGCATGCAGCAGGTGACATACCCTGCAGTCCACATAGGCTTGGAAGGTGCGGATGATGCCTGCCTGCACCATGCGGTACTGCAGCTGTGGTGGGTGCGAGGGGGGATGCATGGGCGACGCATGGGCAATGTACACATGGGAGAGATATGAAAGGAAAACCGAAACGGGAAACAAAGGAGCTCTGAAACGAGGAAGAAGAGTGTGGGGCTACTATCGGACAGACACGCACAAGACCAGAAGAATAAACAGCAAACATACTCAAAAAGAGAGAGAAGGGAGCGATAGAGAGAGAAGGGAGCGATAGAGAGAGAAGGGAGCGATAGAGAGAGAATATACGGTCAGTGCATTAGGGAGGAAAAACGACAGAATGTCACAGGAGAAGAGTCTGTGTGAGAAGAGAGGGGAAGAGAGCGGGAGTGAGAGAGGAGAGGAAGAAAGGGAGGGATGGAGGGATGGGGGAAGGTGAGGGAGGGGAGGGATGGGAGGGAAGGGAGGTGAGGGAAGGGAGGGAGAGGGCGGGAGGAGAGGGAGGGGAAGAAAGCATACGCGTCTCCAGAGGCGATGGCCCGTGGCAAAGCGGTAACCTAGAGTAGCCTTGAGCTCTCCACACACCAGCACCTGCCATGGCGTGGAGGGGACAGTCCACCCGCAATGGCACAGAGGAAGATGGGAGAAGGGGAATATAGAGAGGGCGAGAAAGAGGGGTGGGTGGGAAAGGAAGAAGAAAAGGAGGGGGCCTGTGAGAGAACATGGAATGCAAATCTCATTTCAACCGAATTCCAACCCAATGCCCCCCTTTCTGCCACCCCTCCCCCCGCTCCCCCCCCTCCTTCCGAAACCCCCTTGCACAACCCACACTTCCCCCCTTTTCCTTCTAAAACCCCTTGCACAACCCACACTTCCCCCCTTTTCCTTCTAAAACCCCTTGCACAACCCTCGCTCTGCACTGCACCCACCTGTCCCTGCACGTTCGAAAGGTACTGGCATATGGACAAAATCGCTGCCACGTCATCATCCACTCCCCTCAGCACCACCGACCCTCCCGCCCCACCCCCATCCTCACTCCTTGCTCCAACCCCCATGCCTCCTCCTCGCCCTACGCCTCCTTTCCCCTCTCTCCCATCTCTCCCTCCACCCCATTGCATGTCTTCCCCTCCTCCCACTCCTCCTCCTCCTCCTCCCCCGCCTGCCCCACCTGCTGCTGCAGCCATCATCCAATCCTCTGCCTCCGCACCAGCTTCCCACCTGTCGCTTGCACCTCCCCCAGAGCCCAACTGCTCTCCAGCAGCAGAAGCAGCAGCAGCAGATTCAGAAGCAGAACGTGGGAGGTGGTAGTTCCCCTGTCCCGTGATGCTCGCCGGTGAGAAGCGAGACAGGTAGAGCATATTGGTACGGCATGCGTGCGAGGCAGCAGCACCAGCACCAGCAGCAGCACCAGCAGCAGCACCAGCAGCACCAGCAGCACCAGAACCAGTGGCAGCAGCAGCAGCAGCAGCAGAAGAGTTAGGAGCGAGGGAGTTGCGGGTGACGACAGCGTGCATGGCAATGAGGTGTCTGGCTTCCAGCGATCGCAGCACGTAATGGAAGTTGTTGTTCTTCACCCGCATTGTCCTCGCCAGCTGTGCCTGGGACACCCCGCCTCGCCTAGGAGGACGAGGGGGGAGCAAAGCAAGGGAGGGAGGGAGGAGCAAAGAGAGAGAGGGCTTTCAAGGTGCCTCAAAAGTGGCTTCCAGCGATCGCAGCACGTAGTGGAAGTTGTTGTTCTTCACCCGCATCGTCCTCGCTAGCTGCGCTTGAGACACCCCGCCCCGCCTGGCAGTGGGGGGAGCAACGCAAGTGAGGAAGGGAGGAGCAAAGAGAGGGAGGGATTTTGAGGCGCCTCAGAAGTGGCTTCCAGTGATCGCAGCACGTAGTGGAAGTTGTTGTTCTTCACCCGCATCGTCCTCGCCAGCTGCGCCTGGGACACCCCGCCCCGCCTGGGAGGATGGGGAAGAGAGGTGCAAAGAGAGGGAGGGCGGAGGCAGCAGCACTGCAGCGAGTCATACGAAGTGGCATTGGCATGGCAAGCTATGCTGGTTGTTCTTCACCCGCATTGACTTGGCCAGCTGCGCCTGGGACACCCCGCCCCGCCTGGGAGGATGGGGAAGAGAGGTGCAAAGAGAGGGAGGGCGGAGGCAGCAGCACTGCAGCGAGTCATACGAAGTGGCATTGGCATGGCAAGCTATGCTGGTTGTTCTTCACCCGCATTGACTTGGCCAGCTGCTCCTGGGACACCCCGCCTCGCCTGGGAGGACGAGGGGGGAGCAAAGCAAGGAAGGGAGGGTGGAGGCAGCAGCACTGCAGTGTGTCATATGACGAGGCATAACAAGCTGAGCTGGTTGTTCTTCACCTGCTTTCCCCTGGCCAGCTGCGCCTGGGACACTCCGCCGTCCGCCGTGCCTGGCAAGGGGGAGGAGCCAAGAGAAGGGGTTGAGAAGGGGGGGTTGGGAGGGAACAGGTGCAGTGTATCAGAATCAGCAGTGCGCTGTGGTAGGCGCAGCGGGCGTGCGCACTCATAAGACAGACAAACAACGAGAGCGTGAAAAGCATGAGAAGGTACTCTTGTTCTTCTTCACATGCACGCACGCACGCACACAGACACGCAAGCACGCACGCACACACACCCACACGCACACACGCACGCACGCACGCACACACGCACGCACGCACGCACGCACGCACGCACACAAGCACGCACGCACGCACGCACACCCACACGCACACCCACATGCGCACCTGGTCTTGCCAACGAGCTCCAGAGTGTCGATCATAAGATCGCTGAGACCACACTCGAACTCGCTCTCCTCGTACACGCCCAGAGACGCCAGTCTCAGCCCCTTATGCGCCACTACCACCACCCCCTCCCTCTCTGCACGCTCCCATCCCCACTCCTCTTCTCCTCCTCCTCCTCCTCCTGTACCTCCTCCTCCTCCTCCCCCTCCCCCTCTGCCCCCTGCTGCTCGCCTTTTCTCTGCTTTCTCCTTCTTCCCGTGTCCTTCATTCCTCACGCTTCCCGCTCCTCCTTCACCTCCCTCACCCCGCACACCACCGCAACCCACCCACCGGAACCGCACTGCCTTCTCCTTCCCCGGTTTCTTCTTCTGGCTCTGTTTCTTGCCTCTCAGCACTTCATCTCCACACTCATCCTCCCCCCTCTCCGCCGCTGCTTCCGTTAAAGCCTTTCCCACCCCTACCCCTCCTCCACCTCCGCTTCCTCCCTCCTCTCCTCCCCCTCCTCCTGCACCATAACCATCCAAAACAGACTCTTCTAAGGGAGCGAAGCCGGAGAGGGGGCGATGGGAGAGGAGGGAGAGGGAGGGACAGCGGAGGAGGCGGGAGAAGAGCAACTGGCGGAAGGCGGAGTCCAGGGGGAGGGGCAGGCGGAGCTGCTGGCACGTGGGGGAGAGCAGGCGCAGCAGAGCGGAAAGGGAGCAGCCTGAAACGAGGATAGGGAGGGAAGGTGGGATTATGAGTCAAAGTGGGAAGTAAAGCAATGCAGGGAGGGAGGCGGGAAAGGGAACAGGTGATCTACTACTGGCCTGGCCTGGCCTGACTCGGTCTGGCCTGACTCGGTCTGGCCTGGCCTGGCCTGACCTGGAGGCGTGGTCTGGCCCGGCCTAGACTGGCCTAGATTGGACTGGACCTGGCATAGTCTGGCCTGGCCTGGCCTGGCCAGGCCTGGATGGCCCGTTGGCTGGCTGGCTGGCTGGCTGGCTGGCTGGCTGGCCGGTTGGCCGGCTGGTTGGCTGGCCGGCCGGCTGGCTTACCGTCACGGCCTTCTAGAGCGATCTCCTCAAGAGCAGCCGCGAAGAGCTGGTCCATCACGCGCTCCCGCTCTTATCAACCCCTTATTGTGACGCGCCTCAGAAACAGACGCGCTCTCGCGCTTGTCGACCCCTTATTTCAGTACTCTAATATGTCTCGATTGTCGCTCTACGCCCTCGAGCTACAGTCTTCCTCCCCTCTTGTCGACTCTGACAGCTCTCTTTTCTTCCCTTTCGTTGTCTCGCGTCGCCGCCCTTGATCGCCCATACCACTGCCGTTGCACAGCCTTGTGTCATCCTAGCGACTCGCCATCCTTGTCTCGACAGAGTCATTGCGGGCCATTCTCCTTGGAACCAATTTCCTGCATGTTTACGAGACTAAACCCGCCGAGGCTTGGCGTGGCTTCTAAAATCTAGACCACTAAAAACCTCAACCTCGGTGAACAAGGAATTTTTTTTTACTAAATACTGGAGGGATCCCAGCGGCACCCTTGAGCTGTCGAAAAGGCTGCGCGTAGATTAGGGCGTGTCCTAAGTTTGCCGACTTCGCAATATGGTTGAACGACTATGGCTGAATACCCCCTTCAAATCTATAATACCTCTTATAGGCATCTTTCGCGCATTCACGCCTGCATCTTCTTATGGCTTTCAGAAACGGTGCATACAGTTAAAACAGCTCATCTACAAACATAAGAGTAAAGGCAAAAAGCTCATGCACCATATCCTGACTTCGATTTTCTGAGGATCATTGTAGGGAACATCCGTTCACAAAAGATCAAGTGTGTTGTTTGGAAGCAAGCAATTTGGCATGTCCATAAGAGGAACAAATCGCTGAACGACTCCCCCACTATGAAGAACTTTGCTCTTATTGTACGGTAGACAATAATCTCAATTTAATATCAATTCAAATACTCTCCCCATATAACATCCTTTTAGTTTCCATTCGCGCACCTGCGCTTATATCCTGGGAATCACTGTAGTTTCGAGTGTGCACATCACGGTACTTCTTTTTGTAGCACTGTATTCAATGCTCCATCATAGCGACTGAAGAACGCGGCTTAGTGCATGTGTGCAGTGCAGCACTCCGCTGCATTTCAGACACCGCACCGCACACCATATGCTGGTGCACACACACACGCGCGCGCATGAATGAGGTGACACGTGGCATGTGGGGCATGCCCTGATGCACAGCTGAGCAGTCAAGCAGCGTCTGTGGCATGGGTGGTGGTGGTGGCATACTGGAGTGCAATGGCCTCTGCTGTCTTCTCCACTGCAGCACACCCAGGCTGCCGGTGCCACACACAACACACAGACACGAGCGCACACGGCGGGGGGGGGAGGGGGGGGGGGGGGGGGGGGGGGGGCATGGGGGCACACATTGGGAGGGGTACACTAATATGATTACAGTAATGTGGTTTGGTGGAAAATAGTTGAGGAATGGAGCTGTGGCAGAGCTGGGTGAAGAAACAAGATAACGAGAGGCAGTGAGTGAGGCAATAGATGAGTCCGCACCAACCAGATGCAGAGACAGTCACAACGCTACAAATGGCAAATGTTGCTACAATCATGCGGGGCTGGAACAACTGCCACTCAGCAACACAGGCAACACAGGCAACACAGGCAATGCAGGCAACGCAGGCAACGCAGACAACGCAGACAACGCAGGCAACAAGAAGAAGCAGGCACTGACCATGATGGCAAACGCAGCGGTGGAGCGGCAGGGGAGGCGGAGAGTTTGGGCGAGGAGCAGTGAGGCAGCGGCAGAAGCGGTGGGAGTGGCGGCAGCGATTAGCACGAGAGGCACAGCCGTGGCAGCGGCTAGCTCTGGCAGGTGTGCCGTGAGCACTCGAGGGAACACATCTGCTGCTGCCACCACAAGCAGCGGGGGAACAACCCCCCCAACCCTTGCTCTCCCCCCCACTGCGCCTGGCTCCGCCAATTCAGTTCGTTTCTCGCTTGCTGCTGGTGGTGATGCTGCTGGCTGTGATGCTGCTGGGCTTGATTCGATGGGATCTGATACTCCCCGAGTAAGATTTCTGTCCTCTCCCTTCCTCTCCTCTTCCATCGCTCCAGAACTTCCGCCTTCACCTGCACCGTCTCCCGTGCTGCTCTCTCTCCGCCTCTTCTTCCCACTGCCATCCCACTCAGCCTCCACTCCGGTTGGGCGACCAACCACAGCAACAGCAGCACAGCCATCGCCAGCAGACGGAATCTGGGAAGTAACACCTAACACACCCTTGTGTGCGCCCTTGCCTGCCCCCTTGCCTGAGGCTTTGCGCCGCTTGCTCCATGTCTCACGCTGTATAGTCCCCTGGGAGGAGAGAGCGGGGGAGCAGGAGGAGGAGGAGGGAGCGGGCGAGGGGGCGGAGGAAGCAGGGGAGGGGGAGGAGGCGAGGGATAGGAGGAGGCGGGTGACAGAGCGCAGGCCACACAGCAGCACGGGAGGGGGTCCGGGTGGGGAAGGAAGCGTAGCCGTTGATGCTGATTCACGTGCTGCTGCCCCCCCACCTCCGGCTGCTGCTGCTCCTGCTGCAGCGCCCTCTGCTGCTGCAGCCCCCCCAGCTGCTGCAGCTGGCACTGCTATCGCCATTCCATCCGCATCTGCTCTTCCCTGCGACGCATCCCCTTGCCTTTCCACGCCCCTCCGTTCCGCTTCCCTTCCGCTCCCCTCCTCAGAGCGATGCTGAGCGCTCTCCTGTGCCACTCTGACGGAAGGGAAACGAAACGGAAGCATCAAGGACTCGCGTGATTGGGGAGCACGAGACGAGACGGGAGGGAGGGGTCATGGGGAGAGGACAAGGAGAGGGCCAATATGTTGTCAAACAAAAAAAAGATTGCAGCTGAAGGGATTGGGATTAGTGTGAGCAACGTGATCACATGTTCTGGAATTGGCACCCCACCTCGCCTCGCCTCGCCTCACCACTCACCACTCACCACTCACCACTCACCACCCACCACTCACCACTCACCACTCACCACTCACCACTCACCACTCACCACTCACCACCCACCACTCACCACCCGTCAACCGTGGTGCACCCATGGTTGTTCGTTGGTTGGTTGAAGCGCCAGTCAGAGCAGCAGTCATCTTTGAAAATTCTCACAAGTGGTTCTAATTCTGTCCCCCCTGCCCCTGCCCCTGCCCCTGCCCCTGCCCCTGCCCCTGCCCCTGCCCCTGCCCCTGCCCCTGCCCCTGCCCCTGCCCCTGCCCCTGCCCCTGCCCCTGCCCCTGCCCCTGCCCCTGCCCCTGCCCCTGCCCCTGCCCCTGCCTCTGCCCCTGCCCCTGTCCCTGCCCCTGGCCCTTCCTCCTTCTTCCCCCCAGCCAGCACGTCACCTATATGAAGCCCCCTCAACTCAGCTCACCTAGTCAGCAGCTCCAGCAGCGGCGCCAGCTGCGGCCCGTCCACCACCCTCCACTTGCCGCGCCTCCTCTGCCGTCCGCCACTGCTGCCCCCCCCACCTCCACCGGGATTCCCAGCAGCAGTAGCAGCGACAGCGGCAGCGGCAGCGGCGCTTAGATCGCCGGTGCTGGTGGTGGTGAGAATCGGGGATACAGTTTTCACAGCACCACTTTTACCCTGCACCGCTCTACCTGCCGCTACCGCTCCCGCTCCCGCCACCCCAGCCGCCGCCGCCGCCGCCGCCGCTGCTGCTGCTACTGCTGCCGCTGCCGCTACTGGTGCGGCTACCTGGGGAGCCTTCCCTGTCGCGCTCCCCTTTCCGCTCTTCACGGACGGGCCCGACGCGCCTTTGCCGCCTGAAACCGCCAGCGAAGTGCCTTTAACGAAAGTCGCCGCCGGCTTGCCGTCGCTCGCTTTCGCAACTGCCGACGTGTTCCGCCCGGATTTTAAGGGTTGCATCGTCCCACCAGCGGACTTTCCGCCGCGTTTTCCTGCGCTCTTGGCGCCGCCGGAAGGATCCGCGCTGCTTGTGCTGGCTGGCGTTTTCCCTTTCAGCTGAAGCCAATCCCATCCGTCACTCGTGTTGCCGCTGCCGCCGGCTTTGTCCGTCCCGCCTGTAAAACCAGCAGTCGCAATCCCGCCCCTGCCTTTCTTCCTCCCCATCGCGAGTCGCCTTCCCAACCGTGGATTGCGGAGAAAAGGCACGAGCTGCGTTCGAGGGCGCGGTGGCGGGAGTCACGGGGAGGAGAAGAACGGAGGTGAGGAGAAATCAGGGCGAGTGAAGTAGAGGAGCGAAAAGATTTTGACCAGGGGAAGAGAGGTATAGTAGAAGGGAAGACACATCATTGTACACGGAGTAGATGCCTAGGACTTATATCGAAGATGCCCTTGGGATGTAAGAGCGGGTGGGGTGTTGAGACTGGCGAAGCTGACGAGAAAAAGCTGATGAAAGTTTCGCAAGCGGAAGGGTAACTGCTGCTGTTTGAGGCTAGGCCAATGAGATTGAGGGTATCGCCAGAGGGAGATCTATGGGCTAACGAGAAGGCACGAACATACTGACGTGACCAGATCTAGTTCCACGCTGGCATAACCACGCGAGAACTTCGTCCAGCGCACATCTGACGGCTGAAATGACGAGATATGCAAGAAAGTAGGCAAAATATCTTCACAAGGCAAGCTGGGTGGCTGCATTTCTGCCTTGCACAGTTCGTGCAGTTTCGCTCTGCTGTCGCGAAGTCGGTATCTTCATCGAGCCATCATCACAGGGGCACCCGCTGCCCCACAAATACTACACCACGAAGGTTGGAGCGTTATTCCGGTAACCGCACTCACAGGCTCTTGAGGGAGATTTTTCTGCTCCATCGCTTCTTTCTCTACACAGTTGTCGCATCGCATGAGTCCGCACTTTGCGGTAATCTGGCTTTTTGAGTTCTTCCGCTCCATCGCCACAAGTTGCTGTTGTTCCTTTCCCTTTTTTTCTCTCTTCCTAGTACGTCTAACTTCGTATCTCGCGCAAGTCCTCCCGATATGGCTCTCAGCGGAGCTTCGTTCTCAGCGGAGATGGTTTCGAGGCACCCAACAGGAACATTTAAAGATCATCCAGTAATAAGAAATACTCAAGTACGAGTTTCTCAGGATTCGTGCGCTCGCTCACTCCGGGAGCGCGCCGGAGAGGATGTAATTAGGTTCGATGCTGCTGCTAGAAGGATTTCTGTCCCTGCGAATGCCCTGGCAGGCATGACGCTCCGTGGAAACCACCTGCGCATTAGCAGCGTTAGCGGAAGCGTTAACCGCACCCACTATTGCAGCGTCAGCGGCATAAGCACCCTGCGCAGCAGCGGCAGCATCGGCGGCAGCGGCGGTGGCGGCAGCAGCGGCAGTGGCGTCAAGCAACTCGCACTAGCTTCTCCTCTCTTTGGTTGCACGAATGTCCCACCCACGAGACCCAGCAACAACAGCGACTTCTATCGCTCACCGCAACGAACGGAACGCGGCGGCGGCGGTGGTTTGCTGTGGCCGTTCGCGCCGCACGGACCGCCGTCGTTCGAGGCGCCTCGACAGAGACCCCCCGAAATAGTCACACTGGCCGCCAGGCAACAGGCGATAATCACGCTGGCAAGCCGCCACCAGACTTTCTCCTCGTTCGACGATTTGATTCACTCCTCGGATCTTGTTCTCGTCGACTTCTACGCCACGTGATGAGCTGGGATTGGCCCAGCGGAAGGACACTTCGCACCCGCCTTTGACTAGACTTTGAACAGGGTTCTGTGGTAACCTAATCTTGGTTCGCAACCAAGATTGGTTGGGTTAGAACAGGGGGGGTGGTTCTTGACCAATCAACCAATCTTCACACGCTCCCTTCGCAACCATTCCCCCCACTCCCGCTCGCAATGATTCCCTCCTCTCCCGCCCGCAATCATCCCCCCCCACCCACTCCCGCCCGCAACCATTCCTCCCACTCCCGCTCGCAATCATTTGCTCCCCCGGTCGCGCGGCAGGTGCGGGCCGTGCAAGCACATGGCGGGCGTGCTGCAGAGCCTCTCGCACCGACTGCTCGCCTCCGTCAAGATCGTAAGCACCCGCCTCTCCGCCTCCCCGCGTCTCCCCGTCTCCGCCTCTCCGCCTCTCCGAGTCTCCGCCTCTCTGCGCAACACACCAACACACCGCTCCTTTCACACTCCGCCTACTCCCTGCCTTGACACCCTTCACTTGGTTCGCGCTTCATGCACACCAACTGCTGGCCTCCGTCAAAATATACACACAGAGCTCATGCGCCCATCTGCCCATGCGCCCATCCGCCCATGCGCCCATCCGCCCATGCGCCCATCCGCCCATGCGCCCATCCGCCCATGCGCCCATGCGCCCATGCCCCATCCGCCCATCTGTCAATGCGCCATCCGCCCATCCCCCCGTCCGCCCATCTTTCCCCCCGCCCTCCCTGGCAGGTGAAGATAGACACGGAGAAGTACCCGGCTCTTGCATCACAGTACAGCATCACAGCGCTGCCAGTTCCCCTTCACACTCCTCCTTCCGCCCATCCGCCCATCCTCCCATCCGCCCATGCGCCCATCCGCCCATCCCCCATCACTTTCTTAGCGCCTTACAATCCCTTTCCCCCCACATACACACCCCTCTCCGGCAGGTGAAGATAGACACAAAGAAGTACCCGGCTCTTGCATCACAGTACGGCACTACCGCCCGGTTCACCTTGACTCTCCTCCATCCGCCCATCCCTTTTTCGGCGCCGTACCCCCTCCCCCCCCCCCCCCCCGCCCCCCAATCCCCCCCCTCTCTCCCCGGCAGGTGAAAATAGACACGGAGAAGTACCCGGCGCTCGCATCACAGTACAGCATCACGGCGCTGCCCACCATCGTGCTCTTCAGACACGGCCACCCCATCGACCGCATCGTGAGTCGCCAGCGGGTGGTTGTTGGTGGGGCGTGCGGGTTTGAGAGTTAGGGATGTTGGGGGTTGCTGGGGGTGCGAGAGAGGTGGGAATGCAGGTTGGGGATGTGGTTGGAGATGGGGTGGGGGGGAGTGGTACGTGGGGGAATGCGATGGAAAGAGGGGAGGAGTGCTGTATCACAGTACGGCATCACAGCTCTGCCCACCATCGTGCTCTTCAGACACGGCCACCCCGTCGAGCGCATCGTGAGTCGCTAACGGGTGGGAGTTTGGGTAGAGAGGGTGTGACGATGCTTGCGAGTTTGGGAATGTGTGTTGGGGGTCGCTAGGAAGGGTGGGGGGTGAAAAGGGTGGAGTGGGGGTTGCGACGGGAGTTCCTCTCGTCCCTTCCCTCTTGTCCCTTCCCTCTCACCCCCTCCCTTTCCTCCCTTCCCTCCCCTCCCTTCCCACTCCTCCCTCCCCTCTCCTCCCTTCCCACTCCTCCCTCCCCTCTCCTCCCTCCCTTCTCCCCCCTCCCCTCTCTTCCCTCCCCTCTCCTCCCTCCCCTCTCGCCCCTACCTGCTGAACCATCCATGCCATCCGCAACTCCCCTCTCCGCCCATTCTCCCCCCCATCACTCCCCCAGGAGGGCATTCTTCCCCCTGAGGAGCTCATTCTGCGCCTCGGCTCTCTCCTCGCCCCCTCCCACACACGCTAGCCTGGTCACACACAGACGCCCCCTCCCACACACGCTAGCCTGGTCACACACAGACGCCCCCTCCCACACACGCTAGCCTGGTCACACACAGACGCCCCCTCCCACACACGCTAGCCTGGTCACACACAGACGCCCCCTCCCACACACGCTAGCCTGGTCACACACAGACGCCCCCTCCCACACACGCTAGCCTGGTCACACACAGACGCCCCCTCCCACACACGCTAGCCTGGTCACACACAGACGCCCCCTCCCACACACGCTAGCCTGGTCACACACAGACGCCCCCTCCCACACACGCTAGCCTGGTCACACACAGACGCCCCCTCCCACACACGCTAGCCTGGTCACACACAGACGCCCCCTCCCACACACGCTAGCCTGGTCACACACAGACGCCCCCTCCCACACACGCTAGCCTGGTCACACACAGACGCCCCCTCCCACACACGCTAGCCTGGTCACACACAGACGCCCCCTCCCACACACGCTAGCCTGGTCACACACAGACGCCCCCTCCCACACACGCTAGCCTGGTCACACACAGACGCCCCCTCCCACACACGCTAGCCTGGTCACACACAGACGCCCCCTCCCACACACGCTAGCCTGGTCACACACAGACGCCCCCTCCCACACACACTAGCCTGGTCACACACAGACACACACATGCACGCACACACTCACGCTCTCAAGTTTCGGCTACAGTAATCGCAAACCATTGTTTCTTACATGTTTGCTTGAGAGCACCATAATTTATATCGTCAATAAGAGCATCACTTTATGCACTGTGTTTAATCAACCCATTGTTACTGGCTAGCTTGCCACGGCGTGTATTATTCTCTCTACAGAACAGGCATTCCTTGTACACAAAGCAGGAGACTCTGAGAATCTCCACAGACACCACACGTGCTACCCAGTACAAGCACCATAACCAGTACAGCAAACAATGCCTGCTGGAGTATCCCCATTCCACTCAACGAGGGGAATAGGCGTTCTACCACAACCGACCGATCACGCCTCAGGAGGAGGAGGAGGAGCGGCAGGAGAAGCAGCAGCAGCAGCATCGCTGCTAACAACCAACAGGCAGCCATCCTTTGAGCGGCGCCCACTCGAGCGCGCTCATAAGCTCCAGCTCAGCGCGACTCAGCTGCTGCACCGGCACTCCCGACACCACCGCCACGCTCCTCCCCAATGGCACATGTTTCCGGTGCACTAGCAGCTTGCATGCCAGCCACAGGGAAGCGGCCAGGAGAACGCGGATAGAGGAGAGCGCGGGGGCGGCGGCGTGGGGGGAGTATGGGGGAGGGGAGAGCCTGTGGGCGGTGATTAACCGCATGAAGAGATGCAGGGTGAGGCTTTGTATTGATCTGTCAGTTGCAATGGCGGCTGCAGAGGTGGTGGGAGCAGCCGGGTCGGTTGGTGGTGCTGCTGGTGCCGTTGCGGCTGGTAACAGGGGCGTGGGCGTGGGATTACTGGAACTACCCTCTGGGAGAGCTGCCATCCAGCAGTACAACACGCGCCTCAGCCTCTGCGAGTTTGGTGCACCTAGCAGCTGCTCCGCACGCGTACTAGCAGCCGCAGCAGCCGCAGCAGTAGCAGCAGCAGAGGCAGCAGCACTAGCATCAGTACCCTGTAACGGCCCAGCCAGCCCAAAGCACACCTCACCCTCTCCCTCCCCTTCCCCATGCCGCCTACCCCCTCTGCACGCGCGCTTCCCCATAGGCCAAACACCAACTCCCACAACCTTTGCAGGTCTCTTACCGCCTACCCTCGCAGCGCCTTCCCCCACATTTCCACCCTCTCGCGGCCCTTGCCGCGCCAGGTTCCCTTCCGCAATACCCGCCGCCGCTTTTCCCGCTGATGCCCCCGCGTTGGCCTGTGCATAGCAGCCATGCGTAGGCGCAAGGGAGAGCCACGCCGCGCCGGGGGCGGGGGCGGGGGCTTTCGCGGAGGTGAGGGCGGGAAGGGCAGCGGTGGAGCGGGGGACGGGGGCGGGGTGCGCAGCAGCGGCGCAGGGGCCGCGGGCGGGGCGAGCGGACGCCGCCCACGTGTTGCCACTGAAAGCAATCGGTGCTGCTTGTGCTGCTGGTGCTTTCGCTGCCTGATGACCATGCGCGATACCTCGTTTCGGGAGTTTGAACGAAGGGTAGTATTCATTGCACAAGCGCACCTGCTTCCTGCTAATGCTGCTGCCGCCGCTGCTGCCGCGGCCGCTGCGGCTGGCACTGGGGCTGCCGCTGCAGCTGCAGCTGCCGCAGCTGGAGGTGCTTTCGCTGGGGAGAAGCGGCAGAGGGGTCACGGAGAGCAAAGGGAAGATACTACTATCACCTGGAGCCGCACGCCGCCGTGCCGCTCGTCTTTCATCGCTACTACCATGATGTTTGCCCTCCCCGTGCGCCGCCGTTACTACCGCATGATGATGCGGCGGCTGCGGCTCCGAAGACTCGCAGAGGGAGTCCTTCAGCGACCGGAATCTGTCAGTAGCGTGGGAGAGGCGGGGTATGATATCGAGCGACCTCCGGGTCGCGCCGCGTGACGCGGAATCATTGCATGATGCTGCCGCTGCCACGGCATACTCGCCGCATTCCCCGCAAACCGGGACGGCAGCAACCGCCGTGCTTCCCGCCGCCACCGCCGGCATAGACGGAGTCGCAGCCGCCGCCGCCGCGAACTCAACGGCCGCTGAAGCTGGAGCCGCGAAGCTGGCGGCGATTGCGGAGGCGACGTAAGCGGCGGGTAACGAGGCGGTGGAGAGGCGGGAACAGAGCGCGCAGAGAGAGAACCTGCGGTGGCGGGAGAATATTGCGCTCGACGCGTGGATATCCTGGTCGCATGTGGCGCAAAGCACCGCGCGATCCGCGGCGCAGAACGCGGAGGCTTGAAGAGGGCAAAGAGCACAGCGCAGAGGGAGCCACCTCGCTTCAGTGCCGCCGTCCCGCTCTTTGAGAGTGAGCGGTGGCGGCCGGGGGGGCGGCGGCGGCTCTCCCCGAGTGTTTGTTGCTGTAAATACTGGATTAAAAATCCCCTTACGGAGAGAAATTGAAAAGGCCGAGCGATTTTCGGAGGGGGCTGCAAAATAAGGAACTTGGGCGGTCGCCATGGGAACCTGTGCTTGAAATTCGGTGTGAGAAGAGGCTGAAGGAGCACAAGACCGAGTCGCGTGCTGCTACGTGGAGGGTTACACACTTATTTCGGGAGGAATGGAGAGGTCAAGCTGCATCGGTGAAAAAGAAACGGGGTGCAACACTGTGGTTTGAAGCGCATGGAAGAGATTGGTCTTATGGATGCAGGGACGGGTACACAGCTTAGAGAGGCTGTTGCAATGGTGGTGGTGAGAAGACGAAGTCCCCGGTCGAAAGGCGTCAGTGATTCTGTGTTGGTTGGGAAAAGATATTAGGCGCTAACTATGAATGGCTGACATTGTTGCGACGCGGCTCAGAGATGTCGAGGTTCAATGTGAGCTAGATTTGACGAATTGCACTTGCCCCCCCATTTCTCAAATGTTTGTCCCAAACCACGCCCTGCTCTTCCTCCCAACGTTTACAGCGAGCTGCGCAAACCACAGGCATGCCGCTTGCAGCGGCGGGGATGCTTGTGTGGTGCAATATGCTATTGTGATTCAAACAAGATGCAATAGCAGGGTGACAAAACAAAAGTTTGCGCAATGCCCCTTGTGGAAACGAGATCTTGGATGAGTTGAAAAGGCGGTGACTGCCGTCGCGCGACCTTGTGTCACGTGATGTAACGATTGGATCGGGCGATGATGGGATTTTTTATTCGAGACCAATGTCGACATCTAGGCGCACAGCTTGGTATATCTCAACGGAATGAGGGTGACGACAAAAAGACAAACCTCCCACGGGCAAAAAAAAAAACTAAAACCCTGTCGGAATGGCATGCCACGTTTGTCGGCATCAACCCTAAAATCCTTGCCGCATGGTGTTTTTTCTGCCCTGGTTAGGGTGACGCTCCCGAAAGCGTCACCCCAAAGCGTTATCCCAGGCAAAACGGAGCGTCACCCTCGATTCCGTTGAGAGATACAGAGGATATTGAGGAAAACCAACAGCAACTTCAGGGAGTCAATGCAGGGTTGATGCTGGTTGAGTTGAGTTCCTCGGGCAATGGCCCAAAATTAGCAGTCCGATTAGATGTACACTTAGTCCAAATTTCCCCACGACAATCACGTCACAACACGTTTCAGGAGCACCGGGTCGGTTAAAATAGGTAGTCAAAAGGAATTCAGATGTATTCAAGTTTCGGGCGAATTTATTATCAGCTCTTGGTTTCAGGTCGGAGGGAACACCAAGATTGCTGAAACCATCGCCATCGCAATGACCTCCCTCTGAGGTCATTGCGAGGGAACCATTCCTCCCATGCAAACAGCTCACGACACGAGGTGCATGCATACGTACATTTTCCTGCACAGTAGGGCCGTCGTTCATTGCAGCTCCCCGGTAAAAAACTTCAGTTTAACTCGTGCTGCGCCTGATGTGTACGTGACACGTAACGCCGAATATATCTCAGCGGACAAGCGAGTCCGCCCGGGGGAGTTCACTGCCTGCGGGCAAAAAAAATAAAACCCATTCGGGCATGCATCCGGTCAGGGAGGCATCAACCCTAAACACAGGGAGGCATGGATTTAGGGTTGATGCCTCCCTCGGATGGCATGCCATCCGACGGGGTTTTAGTTTTTTTCTGCCCGGGGCAGCATGTCGTCAAGTCGTCAACAGGTCATCAGGCTTGACGACCCGTTTCCGCTGGGATATTCGGCGGTGGATACATCTTTGGTGGTGGTGACCTGAACTTGCTGATGGTAGACCAGGAATGGGTTCGGACGCAAAGCAATGCCTGCAGTTCATAAATCCACCCAAACTTCATTCGAAGCGATTCACACCCAGCGACCACGCGAAGACATCAAAGAGCCCTTTAGATTTCTCGACTGCAGTACAGCACTGTGCATAATCGCGTGAACGACTTCCCATCAAATCTAGCACGTGGCGACAGTCAAAACTCTCAATCCCAAAGGTTGAAACAGACTGAGAATCTGAAACTATTCCGGACGAGTATTTATCACCGCTTGCAATTTGATTCATAATTCACCGCCAAAATCATATTCAAGGAACCCAGCGCCGCGGCAGAGCCCTGACCGACTCCTGGATTCCTGAAAGAGACTGTGTACGCTTGCAGCCACGGTGTTCAAAGGCTTGGTACACTGCACCGATGTGATTTGTCTCGGGTTTGATTGGCGTCAATTTCCTTCCCATCGAATTTTGTGTAGTTCCGATCCGAATCCCCCCAATAAGCAGAAGGGGAAGCAGCTCCACATTCTTGCTCACAAAATAATATTATTCAAGATTCGTTAAATGTACAACTTTCTCACGATAGCCTACTATGCAAGTTTTTGGGTTGCGTAGCAACCCTATACATTTGGTTTCACAATTTGGGGATGTCATATGAAAATTGATTTTTACCCACTTTTTGGAGCACTTATTTGAATGTTTTGAAGCTGTGTTCAAACGGATGCCTCAAATAGTGAATAAAAATCACTCATGAACGAGATCCCCATACGTGAAACCAAATGCCATGTACGTATCATGATGGAACCATGAATTTGCTCAACGGTCCCAGCATCGTCTATAAATATGGCGGATGGTACGGCCGAGCATGATATCCTGGTATCAGATTCAACATGCACTAATGCAATTATACAAATGAATAAGAAGGTATGAGGTGGTGTGGATGCTTCAAAGTGAATGTTAAGATGCATCATGCAGCAATCGAGGTTGATGGGGTCGTTGAAACAGCGAAAACACGCTGCCCAAAAGACGATTAACCTCTGGTTACATACATATCACATACCGTATCAACCCGGATATAAGCACAGGTGCACTTATAATAAAACATTGATTTTTAGGGGGGTGCGCTTACAGATGAGTAACGGGCATAAGCGCATGCGGTTGTAATTGTCAAACTTATATGCTATAGTATATTTAGGCTATAGTGGGGTAGTTCTTATAGGGTACAACACTTTTAGGTTTCCTACTTGTACCCACCTGCTTCCTAGTTCAATCATTAATTCGCTCACATTCTAACATGGTATTCTGAAAGGTTCCCTAGTGGGAACGTTTTTTAAGGGCCCACCACAAATTTGTTTTCCTGCCCTGCCCGAAGCGCGCATCGCGCCCTGCCCGTCGTGGCCCCTTTGTCGCCCGTCACGGCCCCTGCTGGACGCGACCCCGCCTGCCTGTCGCGGCCCCTACTGCCGTCGCCACCCCTACTGCTGTCGCGGCACTACCCCGTCGCGGCCCCTACTACCGTCGCGACCCCGCCTGCCGTCGCGGCCCCTACTGCCGACGCGGCCCCTACTGGCGTTGCGGTCCTAGCCCGTCGCGGCCCCTGCTGCTGGCGCGGCCCCCTGCTGGCGCGGCCCCTGCTGATGCGGCCCCTGCTGACGCGTCCCCTGCTGACGCGGCCCACTGCTGACGCGGCCCCTGCTGACGCGGCCCCCTGCTGATACGGCCCCCCCCCTGCTGACGCGGCCCCCGGCTTGCGCGGCCCCTACTGACGCGGCCCCCTGCTGGCGCGGCCCCTACTGGCGCGGCCCCTGCTGACGCGGCCCCACTGCTGACGAGGCCCCCTGCAGTCGCGGCCCCCCTGCCGTCGCCACCCCTACTGGCGCGGCCCCTGCTGTCACGGCCCTGCTGACGCGCCCCCTGCTGTCGCGGCCCCTGCCGTCGCCGCCTCTACTGGCGCGGCCCCTTCTGGCGCGGCCCCTGCTGACGCGGCCCCTGCTGGCGCGCCCCCAGCTGTCGCGGCCCCTGCTGTCACGGCCCGGCCCTGCACCAGCCCCTGGTAAGCACCCGCGCAGCCCTGCTGCGCCTCGCCG